TATTTGGATGGGCGATAGATAGCGGGGAAAATCGCAGTTTAAAGCCAACAGCCGGAATTCTTGTCTCACTAGTGCAGACGCTACCCATCAAGAAAATCTTTTGTAGCTCAGTGGTATACCGTATTAGTAAGAACCTGAAGTGGAGAACGCAAGTTTGAGCAACTTCTCACATGTCGTGAAAAATGAAGAACGCCAAGCCAATAGCGGTGTGTTCCGCAAATCTAATAAATCAAATTCCTTGCAGTGACGAGATTTTGGAAATAAAATTGACCGATTCAAGTCAACATCTAGCATGTCAACCCAACTTTTTATACAAGTGCGTCTTTGTAGAATAAAAATAAATCTATGGAATTGATTATAAGTCAAGAAAACGATTATCTTCACCTGCCTTGAAAACTAGGCCATGAGTATTCTAGATCAGACTTGGGACGTACATGAATGGCTTCTGGTGGTCCAAGCTACGCAGTCTCTATTTGAAAGACCTATGTGAAAGAAATATTACCCCATCACCAAGCTATTGCCGTACTTGCAGTGACTAAAATACTAACAAAGTCTCATCCCCAAATATCAATCCTTTCCCTCGATGTGACGGAAACCGAGTTGGTGATGAACAAATCGATTTAATAAACTATATGAGGGGAAAAGCTAACTCTAGCTACTACTAACAGGTATTTATAGGAGTTAATCCTCCTCGTGAATCTACAGACTAGTGACTTGTCCTTAGGCACAATACTTCTTACCCAGCCACGTATTTCCAGGTGTCACTAAGTTGTAATAACGCTTCAGCCTCCTGAGTAGTAGTCGCGTTTCTTTCAGCTTCATCTCCCCCTCATACAGCCTCATAGTAAGAATTCTTAGTAACAGGCTTAGGTATCCACCTAAGCTCAAACAACGGTCAAACCGTAACACTCGAGCACATCTCTACGAGAGGTCATAGGCATTTGTCTGCCTCACGTTTCTAATATACATCCCAGTCAGCGTTGTATTTTTGGTAAGTCTAGCTCATAATATTAGAGCATCAAATTACTCTATTCTTATAGAGGAATATACGAACACTTCTTGTCACCCATTCTCTAAAATGTCTTCCATCTTCTACCCAAGTTTCGTCTGTCAACAGAACTGACGTCTAGTCTTCATATGTCCAATTGAGATGAGCTTCGGCCCATTCTCTACGTGTCTTCATAGTTTTCCGAGATACTGGAGGCTTTAGACGAGCCACATGTCGCTGATATCTTCTTTTTTTAAGTTCTCTTTGTATTACCCGCTCGCTAACACCAAGATGTCTAAAGGGGCCAGAGGCGAGTTCCAGAAATGTTTTGCGGCGGTTTCCAGGTGAAGACTCAACGTAAGATATAATCTGATCAACATCATCTGCTTTCAGCCTTGAGGATGTTCTTTTTCCCTTTTAGGGGGAGACAGTTCCGCGGCGCAATGAGTAACTAACTTGTCCCCGATAAGTGTCTAGTTGCGCAGCAAAGTGGGTCTGATGTTTGCCAGCTTCATGGAGCCCATAAATCTGAAATTTTTTTTATTTCAATTCGCTAATGTTTGATTTTTCGACTTGCATAAAAGTTTTGATCTCTGGATAATTGTTTGAATCGAGGCGTGGAAGGTGGGCTTCGAGGTGGATTGATCTGCAAAATAAGGCTAGTATCGAGTAGATTAGATTAGATTAGATTTAAATTCTAATTCTAACTGAGTCAATGACTATTGGCGGTGGTGGACAAGTTTTCATCGCTGAGACACAATAAGCGTGTGGAAATACGCTGGATATCCGGGCATGTGGGGATTAAAGGCAATGAAGAGGCCGATAAGCTGGCCAAATCAGCCTTGGGAGCTTCCAATAACCAGTCACTAACCTCAGCTGCGCCCATTCTAGAAGATCAAGATCTAACATTTGCGGCATTAGGGAGGTGGGTTAAACAGCGTAGCCAAGAGCTCGTGGAAGAGTGGTGGCAGAAGTATCGACCGAAACGATACAAAGATCTGGACCTATTCATGCGTTGCAAAAGACCACCGGAACTAGCTTTACCAAGATGGGCGTACCATTGTCTTATTGCGGCAAGAACAGGCCACGGGGACTATGCCGACTACCATCGACGTTTCAACCCCGAACATGAAGATCTGAAATGCGTTTGCGGCAGAGAGAAAAGGCCCTGGCATTTTTCAGAGTGCCGACCTGCTTTGCTACATTGGAGAATCTATGAGAAAATGGCCCCATCTGGGGCCAGGGAAATGATAGGGGAGAAGGGATGGCAGAAGTTCATCCAATTCTTAACTACAAGCCGATGTTACAGTCTGCCGAAGAATGGACAGGGTGGGAGGTGACCACGCTGAGATTGTTTCTGACCCGAGAGTAGATGGGTGTGGAGCATAGGGATGCGGCGCAGGGCACCGCAACTCAGACATATACTGTTCATTTTTTTTCTTTTCTTTTGTCGCTTCTGGCCCCACTGCCGGTCATGTAGGTAGCAATGAGCTTTCAGAGCCCATCTACCCGTGTCACGTCTAAATAGATGTTAGGTTCTTCCTGTCACGTAAAAGATTTAAAATTCAAATTCAAATTCAATGACTATTGAGGACTCCTAGAATCTTTAAATAAGATACTAGCTACATTTTATGAGTTCCATTTGTTTAACTTTGAATTTTGCTCTCATGGAAAGTATCGAGTGAAGCCATGTGTCTTCTGAATAAATAACTTTGTATTTGAGAAATCTAATTCTTATTGTCACCCAAGCACAAGATGAGAAGAGCTGTGTAATGTTTTGGCGATGGGCGGATAGAGAAGTCATGGCAAAGAACAACAGGACAGGTTGGATTTGCATAAAACCGAGGGTGATAAAGAATCAAATTATGCCCTTAGTTTAGGCCTTGAAATACAGGACAAGAATTAACCACCCTGTCGAAATAGGCGCTAACAGGGGATATTCCCTGAAGCGAATATTCGCCCCATTTAAATCCACTGCAAAATTGAAATCGTGGCATCAGAGTGAGGTTCCTGATGGATTAGTAGGTGTGAAAAGTGAGATAAGCTTAGCTTTATGATGACGTAGGTTACGGGTGTCATGTGGCTCCAAACTACCAATATGTATAGTAGAGCTTAAGACTAGATGTAACTTGATTACCTATTAATACAGGGTATCGTCTACATAAGTACAGTATTCCTTACCTTGTGGGCTGGTTGGTGCAGTGGTACACCATCCGGGCCGTTCTCCCAAGTAGATACTAAGTAGCTTGAACACTTACCCCATGCGAGACAGGAGAAAGCTGGTTCGAATCCAGTATAGCTCACACACAACTTTCTCTCGCGGTGACTTTTTATTTGTTGGATGATGTAAGCACACTCGGGTAGCCACAGAGGTTTCACGCTTTTCCCTGTGGTGGGTATTCACGGAAGAGGTTATAGGCCGTGATGGTTAATCTCGAGTGGTATCTACAAATGAAATCTGAGTGTGTGAGTGTTCTAAACGTCAAGTTGAGTCATCCTAATTTAAGTACATATCATTCGATAAAAACCTGTATGGGCCTCAAGGCGCGAAATCAGGAAAAGTGAATCATATATATATATATATATATATTCCTCACCTTGTGCCCGGATTCCAACGTAAACAACATTACATAAGCATTACAAGTTATGAGAGCCTCGTACTAATCTAAAGTTCTGTCAATCTTGGATCCTCAATAGTACCGTTTCTATTACTGAGGGACAGCAATGCCATATGTAGTTAGAACCGGAGTTTATCCGGCTTATTTGTCGAGGAGTCTTAGAGTACACGGCTTGGCTGGATTAAGGAGTTGTGTAAAGGATAACTTATACATAAATCAATACGCGACGCGCGGTAGTGAGTAGACAAGCATGTAGTCTTCGTAGTTTATTCTTTATACAGAATAACTCAATTTACGACACACTTTTGCTGATAGCTAATGTGATCAGTCCCTTCACATCACCTACTCACAGCGTTTAAAGTAGACGGAGATATTCTTAAATTTATTTCTATACAGCCTAAGCCAATCATTTAATTTCAATTTATATACATGCTAACCACTCCTAAGCATTTTAAAGGGTGTCTCTTAACAATCATATCAGATAAAAGGAGTAAAAGAGATGGAAACATTGGTTAAATGGTCTTCAATACAGGAATTTATCGCAATATAACATGAACCAAAACAAATAGCTTTTTTCCAGGCTACAAAACAAATATTTTGGCAGAACAGAATTGGCACTAAAAGCATTTCATAACATGTTAGGATTTACCATAGTGTTGACACTGTGCAAAAATAATGAAATTTAAATAATGCTACGTCTTAGCCCAACTTTGTATTATTTAAAAGAGCCAAAACAATAAATCGATGTTAAAAAATTAGACGTCAGTTAATAGAAACTGAGCGTAACCTTTAGTTAAAATGTTGTATTGTAAGTCTTGAAATTCTGGTCACGAAGTGATAGTATTTTTGAGACTAGATGAAAGAGAAGAACTACATCTTGATTTTTAAGGTATAATTTCGACACTCTCTTCAAGTAGTCCTTGGCGATTATTTGTGGCCAATCTCAATAATTCTTAAAAGAATCATTTATGTAAAATATCAATGCTTAGAATGACATAAAATTATCATTACAAACAGTGCATCCGGGGATTTGTCAAACAATCGAGGGCTGGAAACAATTTTCGCATGAATCAAGGTTCAACCTGGCTTGACTTATATGTATTTTTATACGCATAACCTATACTAATCTAGGTCTTTGTTTTCGAAGCGTAGTCATACAGGCGTTTAGGTAATAACCAGTGCTCTAATTGTGTGTTTGAGTCTTTGTATCTTTGCTTGGGTGAAGTGATATCAATCCTTGGGCGACTATGGACCGAAAGCTCACAAGTTACGATATACGATCTTAGATTGATCTGCAAAAAAGACTACAATAGTCGCGAACTCGGTTTAGTGTATCCTAGTATCGTGACAGATCTTTGTATGGAGAATAGTAGATGACTGATGGATTATTCAAATCAAACACGTTGGCCCGAGAGCAACCCCTCTTCTTCATCAGCATATTTTTGCTTGGTAGGTCCTTTTCTTCGCATTATCGCCTCTTCAATTTTTTTATCCTCAATTTCTCTCTCTTTCTCGAGCCTTTTCTCTTCTTCAATTTCGGTGCTGCGCACTAGGCCTTCAATGTCCAAATATTCTCTACCTCTCACTGCTGCAACGGCAATTCGTGCCTTTTGTTCCTTTATAAGTCTCTCTTTTTGATTATCCTCGCGTTGAAATCGTTCTACCCATGGATTTTTACCATTGATCAAAATGTATGGATTTTGATGTGGAAACCCAAGGATCATTGCACGCCGAACTTCTGGCAAAGTCAACACCGCATAAAATTCTTTGTGCGCCTGCTCATATTCGCGGAGGGGATAATCTTTGAACCCAACATTACCATCGTGTGAGATCCACTTTAGACGTAATTCCCCAGGTTGTTGGAACCTCTCAACAATTCCGGTTGCAGCTATGGCTAGATTGGTACGTATGACCGTAAGCCATGACTTGAGATAGCCTTCCTGTTCTTCTGGGTGCGAATCAAAAAATATAGCAGGGCCATTTGAGTTTGAGGTCATGTTAATTCTTAGTATAGGCTTATTTCATAAAATGATATTTAAACTATTGTTGCGATGAGAAAATAGAGGTTCTTGTTGATGTGTCTGGGCGTCAAACTAGATAACTAAATGATTGAGGATTATTGAGCAATTACTGGACAAAGTGTGATTTAAATCCAGATATTAACAGTTAGGATGAGATGTATTGGGTGAATAGGGAAAAGCCGTTCTTTGGTGCAGGAGACTTGAGGGGGAATGGCTAATGACTCGACAAGCATAATACCATTGCGACGCAATTTAACGCTACACGGACGTGCACGAGCTAAAGCCAGAGTAACAAAATTTCCCCTTCCTTACGTTAGGATAGACATCTACCATTATCAATTGTAGTTGCTCCAATTTATAAGCTTTATGGCTGTCTTAGTTATTGAAAGTTGGAGAAGTTTCAAATACAGGTAAATCAGTATATATATACATGAAGCTACAGATACTTGAAGCAACATTCTATTTCTTCCCTAATGATTAATTTTTCCTAGTCTATGACTAAATTGAACACGTATATCTATGTCTACAAGCAAATGGAACTTGAGCCTCGAGAAGTATATGCACACTGCATCTTCTACAGCTCCCAGCCAGCAGTATTGCCTCCTACAAGGTTTCGATCGCTCACATACTGATAGCTATATTTGGCATCTGTCATCTGCCCTACCACTGAATAAAATCGTGGCCACCCTCGGGCACAAGTAGTTTTAGTGTCATTTTGCTACTTTAGTCTATGACAATCTAGTACTTGCAGGCGTAAGAAAAGCGGCAAAAATCGTGAAAAATACTGAAGGCAGGGCTTGTCTAACACATATATTAGCAATGAACCCGAAGACATAGCTATCAATATGGAGCGTTTGGAGAGACTGTTTATCTGCACTAATTTGATTTGTAGGTAGCAAGTGGAATTTTCGGTATATTCGGTTGGTATTTATATCAAAAGTTTACTGTAGCAGTAATAAAAATTAGTGATTAACATGTATCTTGATTCTTGCCTCTATCTCAAGGAACCACGTATTTGCAACAGTTGTCCTTCTCTCCTGAGTTGGATGGTGCAGTGGTACACCATTCGGGCCGTTCTCCCAACTCGCTACGAAGTAGCTTGAACACCAACCCCATTTATTACTATTATCAATTAATTTTATTGTCCTGTCTGAGTCTATGACTATGTAGGACATGCAGGTCCTCTCTGCCTACTGGCCAGGGATACCTTTACCAGCAGTATATCCCCTCCTATGCCTCCTACACAACTCCCATAAAACAGTACCACCCCTCACAAGTCCTCATTCGATCATACACTAAGAGGAGCCCTTGGCCCTTTATTATCTCCCCTCTCCAGCCAACAAAACGATGGCTATTTGTGGGTATATGGCAGCCGAGAAAAATCGCCAAAAACCACTGGGTGCGGAGCTCTCCTAATACCGACATTAGGACTAAATCCGAAGACATGGTGATCCTTCTGAAGCGTTCGAATAGGCCGGCCAGCTGGGCGCTGCAGACTTGTCTATACCTCGGAGAATTCACACTCTGCCTTTCTAGCCTCCTTCCAACTCCATCCCGAAGGTCCTGCTGAAATGTCAGAAATGTCAGAAAAGTCTTGACAGAGCGTGATTGATGTATGACAGCTTAGCCTAACTTCTTTTGTACCGTCCAGGGCGCTGGGGAGTGCCGTTGACTCATCTACAAAAGAAGCCCTTCTGGCTAATTAGCCGAAATCTCGGTCTTGGCGCCCACAAAAAATCCAAAGTTGAAAACTCCTCGAAAATATTAGTCCAAGCATGCTCTTTAGAGACCTATTCCCCTCTCTCGCTCCACATCTCAGCCGCCTGTTCTTCCTCAAGTTATTTATCCCATTAGAGCAACAGTCCCCCATAAGCCATGACCCAGGCTTTGTATTTTTCGACTTGATTTCCCCCTTGCGGGTATCAGTAGCGTCGTAAATTTGTAGTGAGAGATGGCTGGAGATTAACGGTGCAAGATCCTATATGCAATTGGAGCAACTTCTTTATTGGTCGTTGAGGCGAGATGATGCGTGGTTAGAAAGAGGTCTAGGACTCAGACGATAATGATGAGAGAGGCATTGTCGAAAAGTTGTCAAATGGAGATGTGTATGAAGTTGCTTTCGACTTCGATTCGGATGCGATTCTTCTTGGCTATCCCAGATATGCAGAGCATACTGAGCGATTACACCGGCACCACTGGAAGGTGAAGAATTCGTCTTTGCCGGCCACCTACCCCATTTGAGACAGGAAAAAGCTGGTTCGAATCCAGTCAGACCCACACACCACTCTCTCTCGCGGTGATATCGTACTTGTGGGATGATGAAAGCACACTCGGGTAGCCACAGGTTTTTCACGCTTTTCCCTGTGGTGGGTATGCACGGAAGAGGTTATACGCCGTAAGGGTTAACCTCGAGTGGTATCTGCAAATGAAGTCTGAGTGTGAGTGTTCTAATCGTCAAATTGAGTCATCCTACTTAAAGTACATATCATTCGATAAAAACCTGCATGGGCCTTAAGGTGCCAAATCAGGATTTTGATTTGATTTGAATTTATTTCGTATAAGGCTTACGCCCTACATCCAATAGGCGTGATACGGGTCTATTCTCCCTCGGGACATACTACAACCTAAGTACGTAGTTTGCTTGTCAAATCTATGTGCATCCAAAGTAGGTGCCTTTCATGTATCCAGGCACCTTCTGCAGAGACCACATCCAGCTGTAATTTAAGACTATTTGATATAGATAAGTTATTCTTTAATAATATATATGTGTAAACGTTATTGGCTCAATCTTGTATCACAACTAAATCACTAAGATTCTCTGTCTAGGTTCAACCAGAAAAACCTCCCTTCTTATGTGTATCCATGCACGGATCACCTTTGATGCCTGCATAACTTCCAGTCCTTATATATTACATGACTGCATAACTAGAGCTGACTATACTTAAATATGCATCCGCTCACAATACGTTAGCAATATTCCATTTTCAGAATCCACTGTATCAGACATTTAATTGATTGAGGATCTGATTGCCTCGCGATACCCGGAATTCTGAGAATTAGGAAGACACATCTATACGCAAAACATAAATAATGAAATTAATTCCAAGAAAATTAAGCGCCCTGCGCCTTTCCTTCATCACAACTCTTTGTACTGAAAACCTTCTTTTTCGGCAGGACTTAATCCTCCCGGTGTGGTATTTGCCTCTCGTAACACTTTGTTACTGTTAAAAACTGGAGAAATCTTTCCCAACCCTTTTCTGCCAGCATCTCCCGTCCTCTCGGTGGTGGTTCGTGCTTCAAGTTTCTCCATTGCTGTAGAGCAATCCGGCATTCGGCAAAATGCAAAGGACATTTCTCCTTTTCGCACACGCATTAATAGTTTTCAAAGTCGTGGCCAAATATTTCATGGTATTTTCTGAAATTGCCATGTCCCGTCCTTCCTGCGATAAGGTGTTGATGCGGCCACCTCGGCAGTGCTAGCTCCGGTGGTAGTTTTCGTTTCATCTGGAGATCCAATTCTTCGTAGCGGCTCGGTCTGTGATCTAGCCACCAGGATTCCAAATCAGGATAATGAATAATTTGTTTATTTTATTTATCCTTCTCTCCTTACGCCATATTTAAATAGGTAACTCATTACTCATCAATATAATTAGTCATCATTTCAATGATGATGACAATTTTAATAAGTCCTATGCTCTAGCCCAGCGCCTTGTCGCGCGAGATCGGTGGACCTAGTAGGAATCACGCCTGGAGGCGTGCTATACTCGACCACACTATTTATAACTCTATCTAATATCACAAGAGGATTTAGTTACAAAAATTATAAAACAATAACATGATAGGAACCAACCCAGTGTTCCTCATACTGAAGCCCCTCCACCACCACTTAATTACCGGCGTTCTAATAGCTACGATCCTCATATCCAGGTGAGGACGTGTGTGCAGGCAGGCTCCCGAAGCAGCCGGTTATCCTTGCAAATTCAGTGAACTTTCCGACAAAGTTGTGACCAGGTAGTTGAATTGTAGATAATTCTACTGGCATAGGATTCCAAAGACTACACATCTGGATGGCATGCCTTAGGCAGCAAATAACGTGGGTTGGTGTAGTTTCCAACCTATGAACACATTCTAGTCTGGTGTCCTCATGATGAAATTGAAGTTGGTATGCCGCAAAATTTCCGTGTCCGGTTCGAGCAGTTATAAGCTCATGGAGTAGGTGTCGAGAAAGTTCTAGTTCAGGTGGTTTACGACGGCGCATTTGTAGGTCTAGATCACGGTAGCGGGCTGGTCATGATATCGACCACCAGACATCAATCAGCTGTTGCCGACGCTGGTGCACCAATCGACGCAGGTGTGCCTGCGTGATATATCTGGGCTGTAGGTGTCGGCTAGAAGTGTCGAGTGTACTGAGCGTGCTGCAGAATCGGCTTCTTCATTTCCACTTATCTTTGAGTGCCCTGGCACCCATCTGACTTGTACTTTCTTCTTCTGTCTTTATTTCCAGCTTGGGTGAATATTCTGGCGCCGGTCGTGGCTCTGGAATCCCGGCCTCTGCTAGTGGCAGTTGCCGAAGTGCTTGTTGGATCCGAGTCATCTGAGTCTCCGGATTTTTGCTCGCTCTAGCCTTCAAATAGTACTTTTGTGTGCTTATATTAGGGCAGACGCTCGCTCGACCACGTAACGGGTGGCGAAAGTCAAGAGTTTTTATTTTTTTGCATCAGATTTTAATTGCGTATGCAGCTATTTAGCTATGACACAATATCAAAGAAAATTACAGAATTGATGATTCAACGTAAAGGAAGAGTACTCATGCCTCGGATTTCATTTGCAAGTACCACTGCGAAGTTATGGAGGCTTTTTCTTCACCCCAAGTCAACCCTCATCTGTGAATACTCACCCAGGGGAACATCTCAAAAACCCTGAGTTATCCAGACATGCCTCTATCATCCATCAACTTTTCTCCGAGAGAAATTTAA